TATTACCTCTCCTAAAGGTGAAACCCGTGCCGTCTGGGACACTTTGAATCCAAGCGTCAACCAGACCTGCCTCCCTGACTATAGCATTTAGAAAATTGCTATCATATCCCAGCCCGTCAGTGAAGCCTCTCCTGTCCTTGGGCCTAGTAATGGTGTTAAAATCACCTCCAAAGACTACCAGCCGGGATGTAAAGAGGTAAGGTTTAATCCTCGCAAAGAGGTTCTTCCTGTCCCACTTGGACTGTGGGCCATAGATATTAATGAGACGGAGCTCATGCCCCCTTACGAGAACATCCAGAATCAGACATCTTCCGATCTCTACCTCAATTATCCGCCGACACGTTACCATGCCGGTAAAAAGCACCGCAACTCCGCTGTAAAGCTCAGCCGCAAGAGACCAGTAGGAGGGCCCACGCCTCCACTCACGCTTGGCCAGATGGACATCAGCCAAGGTGGGCAACCTGGTCTCCTGCAAAAAGAAAATATCAGCTTCCATCCCACTGATCAAAAATAAGGCTGTTTCTCTAGCACTTACAGACTTCAGGCTGGCAACAATAATGGTTGCTACCTTTATCGGAGCGGGAACTGCCATTAAGATAATTGAGAGGGACGTTTCTTAATCCTCCTCTTGACTTTCTTGGCAGGGTCCCTCACTCTCTTAAGAGACCCCCCAGCATCCTCGTCCTCCATCGGGGAAGCGGGATCACCTGACCCCTCCTCCTCCCCCGACAAAGCCCCAAACCTATTCCCCAGGGCCACCTCCCCCCGCCTCTAAAGAGGACACCGACCCTGCTGAGGACAAAACTGGCTTACTCCGCCTACCCACCAGGGACCACCCCTCCTCCACCTGAGCCCCTACTGGAGCAGAACCTTGGGACTCACGGGACTCCCTACCGGGCCTCCTACTCCGCCGCAGCGGCAAGAGCAAGGGGGGAGCAGACACTGAGGGACTAGACCTAGCCTCAACCATCCCGGCCCCTTTAGCAGCCTCCTCAGCTGTTTCTTAGTCCTGGGAGGAGGAACCGGCACACAAGGGGGAACAACAGGGGACTCCAAAGGGGTAGACGAAACAGGGGGGACAGAGACAGGAGGGGCCACAGAAACCTCCCCTTCCCTCACAAGGGCCGCCACAGCAACCGAAGCCGCTCTCTCCAATGCCGCCTCCGCCTCTTCAGCATCTATCCGATCCAACTCTGCTTCAAGCTCCCCCACCGGAAGGTTGTGGAGGGCCTCCGGGCACTGGTTGTATGAATGCCCGAGCTCCCCGCAGAGATTGCATCGGACAACATTGCAGTCCCTGGCCAGGTGTCCTATTTCCTGACACAGGGAACATCTAATGACGGGGCAGGTGGCCGCAAAATGCCCCTTGCCCCCACACCGGTGGCAGACCCTCGGCTGACCCGCATAAAAAATTATCAGGCGGTCCTTCCCTAGAAAAGCGGAAGAGGGAATGTGCTGGAGCACATTTCCAACCACCTTTAAGCGGACGGTGGTCGTCCACCCACCTGTCCATATTCCCCTCTCATCCTTGATCTTCCCAAGGGGCCCCATCACATCCCCATATCTACTTAGCCAGACCACAATATCTGATGCTGGGATGGATTCATTTCTCACCAGCACCGTTATTTTTTTAATCAGGGACTGGCGAGAGACGAGCCTCGGGGTTAGGCCCACCCACCTAGGGCTGGTGACAAAGGTGGCCTCATACCTCTGCCAAAAGAGGTCCAACAATTCTGGCCGCATGAAGGACACGTCATATTCTCCAGTACCAACTGGAGCAATAAACGCAAAAATATATCCGCAGCACGGAAGCCCATTTCTAATATGCGGTCTATGACCTCTCTCCTGCTAAGGGGGGGGGGCCCTCCCCTGACCATTTCAGCTGAACAACATTTCGCCTTGCGGCGGAAGTGGGTAGGTTACCTGCCCTTGCCCGGGCCGATCCCACTGACCCCTGACCTCCCTAACTGCAGCAGAGTAAACTGAGCCCCGATCTAGCCCCAGGGGCACTCAACATCAAGGGGGCATGACCAGGGGAAGCCGCCACACCAGCAGCAGCAACTGAAGGGGGGCAGATGCTGATGAGCCATGACCTGGGGGAGCCCGGGGCTGGGGACCACCCATACCAGCAGGAGAACCCACCTGAGCCGGACCCGCAGGAGCCTGGACCTGAGAACCTGGAGCCCCCTGAGGAGAAACCGGGGGGGACCTGCTGGTTGCACACCAGAGGCCACCATGCCCCCCAAAGGGGCGGGGCCCAGTGGGACCACCACCGGAGGGGAAACACCCTTAGCCAGGACTGTAGGGCTAACCTGCACCTCAGACAATTTTGCAGGCATTATACCCGCTACCCCAGTGTCCAGAACCATCTCACCAACACAATCAGCAGAGTCCTTCTCCCCTTCCAGTGGCTCCCCTGCCTTTGCCAACACGTCCTTGGGGATGCGTTGCAGCATGACAAAGGCAGCATGCTCTTTCACCACGGCTTAGCCGGCTTGCGGGGGATGACATCACTTTCAGCTTCTTCCTCAGAGTCCTCGGACGTAAACCTGAAGTCGGCTCCACGCAGCTCTGCAACCGCCTCTGCCAGGAACTGCAATCCGCCCACTATCTCCTCCTCCTCCACCTGGGTCCCCCAATCCACAGGCAGCTGCCCAGGGGGGAGGGACTCTGATGATCCTGCCACCACGCTGTCTTCCATTTTAGACGCCATTTCCTCTGAGGGTGCTGTGGGCTCAACCTGCCCCTGCTCGCCTTCCACCAGCAACTCCCCCCGACAATTCCTCCACCGAAGAGGCCTCCTCCACCGGACCCCGCATCGCCGCAACACTGCGGCTTCTTGCAGCCTTAAATCTCGCTTCATTCAGATACTTCTCGCTTAGGACGCCTCTGGCGCTGCAGCGCCCACATACCTCCCCTGCTGTGACACACGAAGTTCCAGCGCCTCCAGGTCCCGGTTTCATGGCCTGCCGCTTAGATAGACCATACACGGTCGTAGGATGACCGGAAACTTCTTTAGCTCCAGAGTCAGCTTCTGGAGCTTGGCTTCCTCCTTGTCTATTAACCTGGCCCGAGCGGCCACACGGTCCCGGTAGGCAGAATAAACTTCCCCCTTCCTAGGGGCCATTCCCAGGTCCTCTACTGGTGGAAAAGAGAGGGCCGGTACTAGGCCCCTCCAGGGCCTTCTCCCCGCTGGACCCAGGCCCAGGATCCGCCATCCTGCCTGGGCTGGGCAGGGCACTTTAGCCCCAGGCTTCTCGGGCCTTTCTGGAGCTCAGCAGACAAGTGCAACACACCCTCTCTCAGGAATGAATTCACCAATAATGGTGGGACTCAGCTGCCTTGTGATCTGCAGTACCAGGGCTGGCCAGCGGATGCTCCCAGCAATCAGAGACTCAACTTTGCAGCCAGCTAACACCTGGAACTGATTATGCTGGGGTATTTAAGGGATGGCCAGACCCACAGACTCTGCCTTGGTGTTGTGTTTGTCCTGGGCCCTGTATCCTGTTCTCTGTTCCTGCATCCTGTCTGATTCTCTGCTGACCCTGCTCTGATCCCTGGCTTGTCTGACCATCCCTCTGCCTGACCCTCTGTACCACGCTGCTTGCTACCTGTTCTGATCCCTGGCTTGTGACCCTGACCATCCCTCTGCCTGACCCTCTGTACTACGCTGCTTGCTACCTGCTGAACCTGGCCTGTGACCCCGACCAATCTCCGCTTGCTCCCCCTGTACCTACCTGCCCTATTGATATTGACCCGGCCTGCCTGACGACGCTTGCTTGTATGTACTGTTATCTGTGGGTGGTTGGTTTGGTTTGGTTTGGTTGCACTGTATTATGTTTTAGTATTGCACTGCGTTTATGTTTTGTATTGTTAGTGTTAATAAATTATATTGTTTATAACATATCTGAGGTCTGCGTTTCCCTGCGTCAGCCACACACCTCTGGTCACACCTGGGAGCCCTGACATTACACCAAGGCCAATCCTGACCAGAAGTGGCTGCACAGGGAAGCCATCTTGGCTTGTTGCTGGGAAGGATGGATCTGGATGAGGTTGTGTATTTATATCTGCTAGTGTTTGATGACAGGGAGTATGCTTATCAAACTCTGAAGGAGTATCCCAGGGATCAACTACTAGAATGTATACGGCTCGCTCATGTTCTAGTAGATCAGGGCACAGAGTTCTCTGAGGTGCAGCCTTTGATTGAGGTTTGTGCTGAGTTGGTTTCATCTGGTTCCCCCGAATGCAGGGATGAATTTTTGCCACCATTTAGTGCAGACCAGGTAGAGTCCCTGGTGTGGTTATTAGAGGATGATGTGGGTTACTTTCTGGAGCGTTATTCCACATGTTCACCACAGACACTAAGAGATTGTATAAACGCAGTGCAGTCTTTGACCAGACAGGCTTTGTGTAAGCTCAGCTTTGTTCAACCCCTACTGCAGACATGGACAGACTTGTTGCACCCAGCCTCAGTCAGCTTACAAAAACCCAGTCCTGCTTCTAACTCTACTCCTGTATTCCCACCAGCTCCTCCAGTTACAGCCCAGTATACTTGGCTATCTACCGCATGTCAGTACCCTGTTCCCACTCGCTGCACCTATCCTGCCTTTAACCCTGTAAAAAAAGCCCTCTGTAGCAACTGCTCCCTCTCCTGTTCCATCCTCCAGTTTTTCTCTGTCTCCAGCTGCTCCATTCGTTTGCAGACCTGCGTTTACTTGCAGTGCTCCAGTAGTTAAAACCAGAAAAAAAGCGAAAATTCTTTCCAACCAATACCATCCTGCCAGTATCCAAACCGGTGTGAACCTGCCTTCCGTGACTCAGCCTGAAGCCTCTACTCAGCCTGAAGCCTCTACTCAGCCTGAAGCCTCTACTCAGCCTGATGCCTCTACTCAGCCTGATGCCTCTACTCAGCCTGATGCCTCTCTTCAGCCGGATGCCTCTCTTCAGCCTGATGCCTCTCTTCAGCCGATGCCTCTCTTCAGAAGCCTCTACTCAGCCTGATGCCTGCATTCAGCCTGATGCCGCTACTCAGCATGATGAACTGATCCAGCCCGATGATCCTATTAGGCCAGTTGACTCGATGCCCGCTGTTGATCCAGATGATCCGGTACCTGACCCAGTGCCCGCTGTTGTGCCAATTGACTCAGAGCCCGCTGTCATACCTGGTGACCCGTGCCCACTGCCTTGCCAGATGACGCGTTGCCCGCTGGCAAGCCAAATGACCTGATGCCTGGTGACCCAGTGCCCGCTGTCATACCTGGTGACCCGATGCCCGCTGTCGAGCCAGACAATCCGATACCTGATGACCCGGTGCCCACTGTCGTGCCTGTTGACTCGGAGCCCACTGTCGTGCCTGTTGACTCGGTGCCCGCAGTCTTGCCAGACGACTCGGTGCCCCAGTCTTTGCCAGACGACTCGGTGCCCGCAGTCTTGCCAGACGACTCGGTGCCCGCAGTCTTGCCAGACAACTCGGTGCCCGCAGTCTTGCCAGACGACTCGATGCCCGCTGTTCTGCCAGTTGACTCGATGCCCGCAGTCTTGCCAGACGACTCGGTGCCCGCAGTCTTGCCAGACGACTCGGTGCCCGCAGTCTTGCCAGACGACTCGGTGCCCGCAGTCTTGCCAGACGACTCGGTGCCCGCAGTCTTGCCAGACGACTCGGTGCCCGCAGTTCCGCCAGTTGACTCGATGCCCGCTGTTCGCCAGTTGACTCGGTGCCCTTTGCAGTCTTGCCAGACGACTCGGTGCCCACTGTCGTGCCTGGTGACTCGGAGCCCGCCGCTTCGTCTGGGGGCCCGAGACCCCGTTGCTCCGCCTGAGGGCCCGAGACCTGTCGCTCCATCTGGGGGTCAGGCGCCCGCCGCTCCGCCTGGGGGCCCGAGGCCTGTCGCCCCGCCTGGGGGCCCGAGGCCTGTCGCCCCGCCTGGGGGCCCGATGCCTGTCGCCCCGCCTGGGGGTCCGATGCCTGTCGCTCGCCTGGGGGCCCGAGGCCTGTCGCTCCATCTGGGGGGTCCGGCGCCCGCCGCTCCGCCTGAGGGCCCGAGACCTGTCACTCCATCTGGGGGTCCGGCGTCCGCCTCTCCGCCTGAGGGCCCGAGACCTGTAGTTCCGCCTGGGGGTCCAGCGCCCGCCGCTCCGCCTGGGGGCCCGAGGCCTGTCGCCCCACCTGGGGGCCCGAGCGCCTGTCACCTCGCCAGGGGCCCGAGCCTGTCGCCCCGCCCGGGGGCCCGAGGTCTGTCGCCCCGCTCCGGGGGGCCCGTGCCTGTCGCCCCGCCCGGGGGCCCGGTGCCTGTCGCCCCCGCCCGGGGGCCCGGTGCCTGTCGCCCCGCCCGGGGGCCCGTTGCCTGCCGCTCCGCCCGGGGGCCCGGTGCCTGCCGCTCCGCCCGGTGGCCCGCTGCCTGCTGCTTCTCCTGGTAGCCCAATGTGCCTCTGCCCCGGAGTCCTGCCCGATGTGCCTCTGCCCGGAGTCCTGCCCGATGTGCCTCTGCCTGGAGTCCAGCCCTATGTGCCTCTGCCCGATGTGCCTCTGCCCGCTGTGCCTCTGCCCGGAGTCCAGCCCGCTGTGCCTCTGCCCGGAGTCCAGCCGATGTGCCTCTGCCCGGTGTGCCTCTGCCCGGAGTCCAGCCCGATGTGCCTCTGCCCGGAGTCCAGCCCGATGTGCCTCTGCCCGGAGTCCAGCCCGATGTGCCTCTGCCCGGAGTCCAGCCCGATGTGCCTCTGCCCGATGTGCCTCTGCCCCGTGTGCCTCTGCCCGGTGTGCCTCTGCCCGGAGTCCAGCCCGATGTGCCTCTGCCCGGTGTGTACCGCTGCCCGGAGTCCTGCCCGGTGTGCCAGTCTTTGATATCCCGCCAGTTACCAGACCCGGGCGGTGGAACATTTTTCCCAGCTAGGACTTTTTGGAGCGTCCTGAGGCCGCTCCTTGAGGGGGGGGGGGGGTACTGTCAGGAATGGACTGGCCAGCAATGGTGGGACTCACCTGCCTTTTGATCTGCAGTACCAGGGCTGGCCAGCGGATGCTCCCAGCAATCAGAGACTCAACCTTGCAGCCAGCTAACACCTGGAACTGATTATGCTGGGGTATTTAAGGGATGGCCAGACCCACAGACTCTGCCTTGGTGTTGTGTTTCTCTTGGGCCCTGTATCCTGTTTCTCTGTTCCTGTCTGATTCTCTGCTGACCCTGCTCTGATCCTGGCTTGTCTGACCATCCCTCTGCCTGACCCTCTGTACCACGCTGCTTGCTACCTGTTCTGATCCCTGGCTTGTGACCCTGACCATCCCTCTGCCTGACCCTCTGTACTACGCTGCTTGCTACCTGCTGAACCTGGCCTGTGACCCCGACCAATCTCCGCTTGCTCCCCCTGTACCTACCTGCCTAATTGATATTGACCCGGCCTGCCTGACGACGCTTGCTTGTATGTACTGTTATCTGTGGGTGTTGGTTTGGTTTGGTTTGGTTGCACTGTATTATGTTTTAGTATTGCACTGCGTTTATGTTTGTATTGTTAGTGTTAATAAATTATATTGTTTATAACATATCTGAGGTCTGCGTTTCCCTGCGGCAGCCACACACCTCTGGTCACACCTGGGAGCCCTGACACCATCACTGACACACCACCAAAACGGTCATGCTGAATGATGTTACAGGCAGCAAAACATTCTCCACAGTTTGTCCAGACCCTTTTCACGTCTGTCACGTGCTCAGGGTGAACCTGCTCTTATCTGTGAAAGCACAGGGTGCCAGTGATGGGTACCTGGCCAATTCTGGTGTTCAATGGCAAATGCCAATGGAGCTGTATGGTGCCAGAGGATGTCGGGGCCCTCAGGCCACCTCATGAAGTCTGTTTCTGATTTCTTGGTCAGAGACCATACACACTAGTGGCCTACTGGAGGTCATATTTGTGTAGGGGACTCTGGCATGCTCCATTCTGTTCCGACCTTGCTCCAAAGGAGCAGATACCAGTCTTGCTGATGGGTTAAGGACCTTCTATGAGCCCCTGTCCAGCCTCTCCTAGAGTAACTACCTGTCTCCCAGGAATCTTCTCCATGCTCTTGAGTACTGTGCCGGGAGACACAGCAAACCTTTGGCAATGGCACGTATTGATGTGCTATCCCTGGAGAAGTTGGACTGCCTGTGCAACCTCTGTAGGGTCCAGGTAATCGCCTCATGCTACAAGTAATGACATTGACCTAGCCAAATGCAAAACTAGTGAAAAAAAGTCAGAAAAGATAAGTAGATAAAGAAATTTCTGTGGCCCCTCCACCTGTAAAACCATTCCTGTTTTGGGGGTTTGCCCATTTAGTGCACCTGTAGTTAATTTCATTAACACCAAAGCAGCTGAAACAGATTAACAACCCTCTCTGCTAACTTAACTGACCAGATCAATTATCCCAGGAATTTAATTGACTTGATGCTACTCTGATTAAAAAGTGTTCTTTTTTTTTCCCCCAATTTTTTTGAGCAGTGTATATATTTCAAACGGGTTGATAAATCTGACTGCCTATCTCAGTTCTTTAATCCCTAAACTGCCAAGACAGTACAAATCCCCCCCACCACCGAATAACCCTACTTGGAAAGTAGACAGATCCAAGGTATTTACTAAGGGGACATGGGCGAGTTTTTTATAAGTTGTAATTTTTTGTCCAATTTTTTCTGGAAGGGAAAATGAGATAATTAAATAAAAAAAAAGAAGTTTTCACCTTTTTTTCCATAACTGTCAACCTGTGCAGTACAGCATTCATCATATGATTGGTGTGGCAGTGAGTGATCAGGATACTGAATGGTGACAGTATGTAAAAAAAAAAAAAAAAAAAAAATATTCAAATTTCTTAAAACAATTTTTTTTATTTTGTCACATTTATTTTTACATACAGTACTACCATGGGGGGGAGGGGGGGTGTGATTGAACAGGAATTGTTTTTTTACACTCTTATTGCTTATAACAGTGATGATCACTGTTATAATCAATAGTTTTAAAGGTCAATGAATGGCATTCTTTTACTTACTATTGTGATGTTGTAATTAGCTACAGCTAATCAACATGGTACACGGGTGCCAGATACCATGTGATTGTTTATGACAGTTTTGCTTAATTATAATCATGTGATCGCTATGACTGGTCATAGCGATCACATGATACCCCCGATGCCCTGCTGGGTACCAAGCACCGATGAGGGGGTGCAAACCAGTCAGGGTTGCCAACTATTTGTAAAATTATGGACAGTTTTTATTAAATATCGGGCGATTTATCATTGAGATTTCTCTTAAACTTCAAAAATGACTTCAAATTAAAAATTTGATATTTTCTTTCACTTTTGGTGATAACGGTCTCCGGGACAAATAGAGAAGGTGAATCTCCATAATGGGGGCATAGACAGCAATAAAGATAGGTGTCCTAATCATTCTCCAAATCCTCTATCTACAAGAAAAAAAAATGTTGCCTTCAGTTTATATTTTAGGTTATATGGCACCCTCTGCAAATTTATATGACACTCACATCCTACCACTGTAAAAAAGTCAATGTTGCCTCATTCTGCTTCCAAAAACTACCACTAAAGCTTAAAGGGTTAGTTCAACTGTAGCCCTAGTTCTCACTGATGTGGTGTGGAAGTTGCAGCCTTTTTCGGTGCGAATTCCAACACCTCTATCAGAAATCGCACCGTTCATGCAAACTGCTATGGGTGTATATATTAAGTTTAAAAACACCCCGAAAGCTGTCTTGCAAAATCGCGGTGTTGCGATGTGCAGAATCGAATCGCATTGGTGTCGAATATACCCATGCAATCCCTCAATTCTAGTGTGGACCCCAAAAAGGGTCCTGCACCTTTTTGGTGCGCGTGCAATTAAGAGCCATACAAAATGTATGTCTTCCAATCGCACACGCACACAAATCAAATGTGATTTGCACAGGAATGCGGATGCAGTTCCTGTGCAAAATCACATTGAAATATACCACACCGCATGTACTGTATGTGAACCCAGGCTTAAATGACATTAAAAAAATCGGATTATACATTACAGCTTTGACTGAATATTAAAATGCTGTCTGTTTTAAAAAAAAAATCTTAATTTTTAAGCTGCTGCTTTTGTGGGTTACCCCCTTTTTCTCTGCTGTTGGATGCACAGACCCCCCACCCCATAAATGAGCACATGGTTTGGTTTGCCTAACCCATGCAGGCACAAGGTGTTGCCTGAGGAAAGCATACTGCACATGTGTGCGTTAGTTCTCATAGATGAGTGCTTAATAATGCAGATTCTGAGGCGAATATCCCAACGGTTATTTCATCTGCTACAGAAGGGATGACACCGTTCTAATGTGCATGGGAGTCACCATCCGGTAGTGAAGGTGTTCATTGCAATCAGGGCACACAC